GAAAAAAATAAATAAATCAAAGAAAGAATACATGAAGTTATCAGAAAAAAGTGATGGGGAGATATGGGAGGAGTTGTAGACGAGGGAGTGGGCATGGATTTGATCAAACACCTTATATGCATGTATGAAATTCTCAATAGATTATTTATTTAAAATAAAAATAAAAAAGAATAAGATGCCTCCCAGAACTAGAACCCAACCTCTCCTCTGAAGCTGTAGGGTCAGGCATATCATCTATCTTCATCTTTCCACTGAAGTGAATTTCTCTCCAATGATCTCCTGGGTCCTTTATGCAAACAAAACTTCCAGAAGCCTTCTTTCCTTACCCCCACCTAGTTTGGTAACTTAGACGGACATTTATTAACTCTGAGGAAGGATATAGGTTAGACTCCAAATGGAATCCTCAGCTATATTTACAACTGAGTTCAAGGCTATATTATCTTTGTCTGTGGAGAATCACAATGAACATGAGTAGGTTAGCTTCAGAGGGTAGATCACTGGGCATGGTAACTAGTGTTTATTAGATTGTCATTTCCAACTTTGTGCCAAACAAACAGCTAAGGAGACACTGTAGACCCACAATACAATTCTGCCTCCTTTCACTGCCTTCCTTTATCTAAACCCAGAAGCAGACATTTTCTTATGTGAAACCCAACCCAGAAACCAATACAAAGGGTTTCTATGTTTATGAGCCAACCTTGCCCTTGACAAAGAAAAGACACAGGCTGTAGAGAAGACTATGCAAAGACAGAGGCAGAGACAGGAATGATGCAACCACAGCTAAGAAGTATTGGTAGCTACCAGAAGCTGGAGAGGCAAGAAGGGATCCACCCACAAGTCCTTAGGAGGGAACACAGCCCTTGGGCATCTTGCTGTCAGACTTCTGCCCTCTAGAATTAAGAGAATAAATTTCTACTGTTTTAAGACACCACATTTCTGGTCATTTATCACAGTGGCTCTAGGCAACTAATATAAAGAGTTTCTGTGTTTATGAACCAATCTTGTCTCTAAGTTGATCCTAACCTCAACTCTGCTACTTTTCATTGTCTGGGAGAGTAACTTCCACTTGTTGAATGACTTCTGTCCCCAAGTCCTGCCTCTAGCACTGTCCACATATCATCTCATTTAATGCTTGTAACTGCTCCAATTTATTACTTAAAAATCAGGTATCAAATAAAAAGTAAATCTTTGAAATAGAATCTTATTTAGATTCTAAGTTCTGTGGTCTTTCTCCTAAGCCACAACTACACAGAAAATATGGTTCTTTTTAATCCCTTAATTTCTTAAAGGGGGCAGGGGGAAGACCAATTCTCTCATGATCCCATTTCCACAGAAAACTAGATTCTGTCTCTGGTAGGCTGTGTAGTTTCAGCAATGCCAGAAATCACCCATGATTTGTTATTGGAGACAGGAAGGAAGTGTATGAAATGCCAGGGATCTTTGTCAGTGTCTAAAGGCCTGTAGAGGTCATCTGGGCTAAATGCTTCCTGGTCTGTACATCCCCCTTGAAGCACCAGCTTGAGAAGAAATTTACTTTCTCAAAAGCTGCCCATTCTTTTTAAACAGCTCTCTCAGACCTAAAATAGGCTGCAGCTCCTCCTTGGAAGCCACATGGAATGATTCTAAACCTTTCCCTATAGCAACCTTTAAAGAAGAGAAGTTAATAAATAGGACACAGACATGAAAGATATTGCTCTTTGTCATTAAATAAGCTTGATCTTTGATCTCTTCCACATACAGCATGATCTCTAGTCCCTTTTCCATCCTGGGTGGTCCTCCAGTCGTGCACCAATCAGCCCTTGCTACACTATGAAGTAGGAGCCAAAATTGGTCTCAGGTTCGGCTGTATGGCAGAGGTGGAGTCCCTTCCTGCCTTTAGTTTCTCCCTATCCCTTTCTTTCTATCAGCATTGCAGTTCCAGCCCCGCACACTCAAGCTACTCCAAAATGCCATCCATCCACCCGAGGGCGGTTCTGCTGCTAACAACACCAGCACATTAACTCTCCAAAGCGTTTCGCCAGCCCACTCACCCACCTGCCTCGGAAGACTCCCGTTTTGAAGTGGCAATGTGATCCATCATGTTCTACAGCCCACACGGTGCAGAAGAAAATTAATGACACTGACTGTTCCTGCTACAGAAGCAACTCAACTAGACAGCAGCCTTCGCCACAGTGGGAAAGGGACAGCCCACTTTTAGTCATCAGAAAGAAATCGGGAGGCGCACGTGTGTGTGTGTGTGTGTGTGTGTGTGTGTGTGTGTGGTGTGCCCATGTGTGTGTGCATGTGTGCATAGTGTGTGGTGTGTGTATGGTGTATGCATGTGTGTGTGCGTGTGTGTGTGCATGTGTGTGTAGTGTGTGGTGTGTGTGTGCGTGTGTGCATAGTGTGTGGTGTGTGTGTGTGTAGTGTGTGTGGTGTGTGTGTGTGGTGTATGCATGTGTGTGTGTGTGTGAAGTGCAAAGTCATTTTCCTAACAGCCATAAGCAAACGTTATGCTCTACTGACTTAAGTAAGAACTAGGGTTGTTTTCTCTTCACTCAGTGCTTAAGCACTTCACAGGCACCAAAGGCACTGAACAGAGAAATGCTTGATTTAGAACCTTAACCCAGCCCCTGTGGTTTGCAGACGAGGACTTCCAAAGCCAACCCAATGTGAACAGATACAGTGCAAGGACAAGAGGCCCCTCTGGCCATCCATCACAGGCTCCCAGTGACTCTGCTTCATTTCCTGCCCACCAGACCCCAGGAGTGAAGACTGGTACGCCCTTTCTCTCTCACCCTCCCTCCCTACCCATCCATTCTTGTTTCAAAACAAGCCCAGGAGTCAGTCTCTCCATTACAAACACCAAATCCCCAAATCTACCCCTCACTCTAGAAAAATAGTGAAGTTAAAGTTGGGGTCTGCTGAGCTGTGTGCACAGCTCTGGGTCACACCTATTTCCCATTCTGTCCATATGGGAAAAAGGCCTCTCTCTTTCTCTATCCATTTATCATGTCCCTAGGTCTACTTGGATTCACACACCCTTAAACATCTACTTCCTAAATTCAGTTTCCCAACAGCAGTATCATTTACACAGAAACATGGAATGATTGAAAACTTAGACCTTGGGGAACTGGCTTTAGGGCAGTGAGTTTCCATGTCATTCACTGGGAAGAGGTGATCTTGGGAACCACCTCAGGAACAGAGGGAAGTCACAGGATGGTCTTCCACTTCTTACAGTCTCCCTTTCACATATGGGAATTCCTTTCAAGGTGTGGGTGGGTGTGTACATGTGTGGATGTGGGTATATATGTTTGTACAGGTATGAGAGCACATGTGTCTATGTGGGAGTGTACATGTATACATATACATGTGCAGTTGGAGGTCAGAGGTCAACTTCAGATGTCACTCTTCAAAAACTCTCCATCTTGTTTTTTTTGAGAAAGGGTCTCCCACCAACTGACCTGAAGCTCACCAAGTAAGCTAGGTTGACTGGCTAGTGGTCCCAGGGATTTGCCTGTCTTTGCCTCCCAGCATGAGATTACACATGTGACTTCTGACTTTTTAGGTAGGATTCTGGGGATGGATCTCAGGTCCTCATGCTTGTGCAGCAAGCACTTTACCAGCCCAGGAATATTTTTAAAATAATAATAATCTCCTTTTTTGTCTTTTTGAGACAAGGTCTCCCTGTAGCCCCAGATGGCCTGGAACTCACTATGTAGACTAAGCTGGCCTTGAACTCACAGATATTCACTTACCTCTGCCTCACAAATGCTGGGATTAAAGGTGTGTGCCACCACACCCAGCAAGAATAGTCTTCCTTACATACACACATACACACACACATACACACACACACACACACACACACACACAAAGATGGTACCTATTCTGCTTGCTATGAAACAAAAAGAGCTAACAAAGGCCTTTGTGTTCAGCAGTAAAAAAGTTAAAAACAGGCAGAATGCTGACTGCTTCAGCTTCTCCTTGTTCTTAGAACCACAAACCACCAGAGAACCTAGGATCCTGAGGGCCAGCCCTCATTACTAAGCTGTGAAGGGAAACTCACAAACGCTAATGGCTTGCTTTATTATCAGAGCGGCAAAGTCACTATGACAAGTTTCTCATATGTAGCAGGCACTCAGGGTTGAAAGAATAAATGTTTACATAAGTAATTTGTTCATCTTCCTCAATTCATTCCAGGGAAGAGTTCAGGTGGTTTTTCTAAGAGACAGCAAACAAACAATGGTACTAAAGAGGAAAGAGAGTACGTGAGTACGATTAGCATTTTCATGTCTTAAACACAAGGTCTAAAATTTGCTTTTTGCTACGTCAAGGACTCAAGACTTAGACTCAAAATTTACATTCATTCACTGCACTTTTCTAAGCTGTTCTAAATTTTGGGTGATGAACAATTTCCTAGTTAAAACTTTAAATAACTATGGAGAAAGCAATGAGACTGTAGTCAAGAGGCTTCTTGGTGGGTGATAGCTTGGATTTAGGGGGATTTTGCCTTGATTTCATTAAAATTTACTTATTCTTCTCTCAAGACCAGAGCCTTTCTAGTTAACATTGACTGCAAGAATACAAAACTGGGTTGTGACAAATGCAGGCGAGGAGAGGGCACAAGAGGCAGAAAGTGCCAAGTGTTGGGGACGGCTTGTCATGTGCAAAGACACCTCAGAAAAGATTATGCACCACTTCTCCAAGATTTGACCACAAACCAGCAGCATCCATACGAGCTGGGAGCTTTTTAGAAATGTAGACTCCTGGGTGTTGCTCCAGACCCCCTGAGTAAAAATTAGCACACTCTTTGGTTGATTGGATTTCACATTAAAGTTTGAAAAGCAGTACTCAACAGCATCTCCAAACTCACTGATGCAGATATTTTTTTATATTTCATTTATTATTTTCATTTTATGTGTATGAATGTTATGCCTGCATGTAGGTAAGTGCACCCATGTTGTGCAGTGCCTGTGGAGGACAGAAGAGGCTGTTGAATCCCCTGGAACTGGAGTTATGGACAGCTGTTAGCTGCCATGTGGGTGCTGGGATTTGAACCCCAGTCGTCTGCAAGAGCAGTCAGTGTTCTTAACCACTGAGCCATCTCTCCTGCCCCTGACGCAGATATTTAAATGCAGTGGTAGAATAACTAAATAATGCCAGGACCATTCAATTTCCATCAAGGAGAAGGTTGTTGGTGTGTGTGTGTCTGTCTGTCTGTCTGTCCGTCTGTCTGTTTTGGGTTTTAGGTTGGTACATTGTTTTGAGGGGGAAGATGAAATTGGCTTAGCATGTGTTTGTTTGTTAGATGTTTTCTTTGCTATCTTCATTGATCTGTAGTGGAAAATATCAAATGAGAGTTAAATGAGGAAAAGGTGATTTTGGAGTCAATTTGTTTAGTCATCCTTGGCACACACTGGCAGAGATATTCACCCCCCAGGGGGCATAATTGTTCTTCAGAAGTGACTTTGTCATAGAGAAAACTTTTGTTTCCAGAGGCATGGGCTACACAGCATGGAGCAGAATAGAAATATGGCGATTATCCAGTTCATTTACTTGCTATACACAGCCACACAACCAATCCTGGTAACATGGGCTGTAACAACACAATTCAAGGTACTTGAATCCTCCAGGTTCATTGCTAACGTAGCTCAAATGAACTGGGTTGCAGCCAGGTTCCAGCATCATACTTTGCACTTAAATATAGTGCAAAGGGGGCTATACCCACAGGTAGGAGCAGGGGAACCAGGGGTGTTCATAACCCCCGGATTCAGACAGTATCTAACAAGGGATGACATAAGGCTTAGGCAGAGTTCGCCCGTCTGAAAAGTGGTTGTCACATGGAAGGCACAGTGGCCTGCCAAAATATAGACACGGGAACAAACCAAAGGATAATTGCTATAAATTCCATATAGGGAGCAGAGACAGAGATGTCAGCAGAACACTTCACCTGACTGTGTAGCAACACACTCAGGACTGCAGGGGAGACTCCAACAAGGAAGTTTTTCTGAAAAGGCCACATTTGTTCAAACAAGGTATGGCAGGCCAGCTGGAAGACACGTCAGTCAAGGACAAGGCTCTCTACTCAGAGGTATTTCTGTTGCTTGGACATGACAGCTTCTCAAAACTAAATATAAGGGGAAATTATAGCTAGATTTCCTGCGGGCATAAAGTCTGTTCTGACTGCAATTTAGAAAGCCAGTAGATGAGATGGTATCTGTTCAGATCCTTCCTAAGCATCAAGGTCCCTTCCCGGTATGTTCCATCCATTGGCTATTGGAAGAAAGGACAGCACCCCTAATGGGTTCTTGGAGCCCAGATATTCCTGAAATTATATGCAGATATTTGTACATATTTACTGGTTGTTGTGGTAGTTTTTCCTGAGCCAAGAAACCAGTTTTTATCAGATTCTCAAACAGAGTAATAATGCCCTAACAGTTGACGGTTAACTAGCCAAGTGTGGTAGCATATACCTGTAACTCCAGCACTTGGGAGGTCTGACTTCAAAGGCAGCTAGGGCTACCAGTGAGTTCCAGAACAGCCTGTGTTACATAGCAAAACCCTGTATTAAAAAATATAAAGGCTAGCCAAGTATGGTAGTGTACATCTTTAATCCCAGCACTCAGGAGGCAGAAGCAGGCAGTTCTTTGTAAATTTGAGACAAGATTGATCTGATCTATATATCAAGTACCAGGTCAGTCAGAACTGCATAGTAAGATCCTTTCTCAAAAAAATCAAAAAGGCTAGGGATGCAGCTCAGTGGTAAAGTGTTTGCACAAGGCCCTCGATTCAATCCACAACACCACAAAAATTAGTTAAATGAATAAAAATCCAGTCAACTGAAATTGCTGTGAAGGATGAAGGAACTATCATCTACTGGGCCCTCTCTTCCAACGTCTACACTTGGTGATATCATTCAGTTCTCCTAAAAATCCTAATAGTATCATTCCTACTTTGTAGTTAAGAAAGGCAAAGCTAAAAGTGAACCAGCAGCTTCACCAGGTAAACACACATACTAACTGTAAGACACAGAATATAAACCAGGTCTCTCTAGACTGGAAATCTACCCTTCACCTCAAACGCTACAACACTTCGTGGTGCCAACACAAAGCACACGTTTCTCAAATGTGGTAAGAGATTCTAGAGCCAAGTAGGAGTGACTATGGCCTGGGAACATAGATTCAGG